ATATATCATAAAGTTCCACGAATGATTTCATCCTCTCAACCAGCATATTAACAAGGACTTTCCAGGCGTAAGAGTGTCAGCTGGCCCGTCTGCACTGTCATCTGACCCGTCGCTTTTGTCAGCTGACCTCGTGTGTACCGTCAGCTGATCCGCCTGTACCGTCAGCTGACCCGTCTGTACCGTCAGCTGACCCGTCTGTGCCGTCGGGTGACCCGCCTGTACCGTCAGCTGACCCGTCTGTACCGTCAGCTGACCCGTCTGTACCGTCGGGTGATCCGTCTGTACCGTCAGCTTAACCCGTCTGTACCGTCAGCTGACCTGGCTGTACCGTCAGCTGACCCGTCTGTACTGTCGGGTGACCCGTCTGGACCGTTAACTGACCCGTCTGTGCCGTCAGCTGACCCGTCTGTACTGTCGGATGGCCTCTTCTGTGCCGTCGGGTGACCCGGCTGTACCGTACCGTCAGCTGACCCGCCTGTACCGTCAGCTGACCCGTCTGTACTGTCGGTTGGCCTCGTCTGTATCGTCAGGTGACCCGTCTGTACCGTCAGCTGACCCGCCTGTACCGTCAGCTGACCCGTCTGTGCTGTCAGATGCGGCCGGACCTGAAGCGCCACATCTTCCACCTGGCCTGGTCCCCGGACAACCTGCCGACCGAGGAGGCCATATGTCCGCTCATGGACTACCTGGACCAGAGTCTGGTGAGTCGCCAGCCTGGGCCGCCGCCGGGCCCGGCGGGCCCACCAGTGGTGCTCCATACAACTGATGCTGGCACTTACTGAAGGGAGGCGTCGCTTTATCTAGAGTACAAAATTTGTTCTGATTATTTTGTGTGAGAGGCACTGGGCTCAGAGTTTTTAAGTGGTCCGTCCTGGTTGTGCCTTGAGCGCACCAGCCTGGGTGCCTTGCAGCCAGTCACCAGCCAGTCATCCCAGTCCAAATGGTGGTTGTCCTCCAGGCCTCTTTGACAAACAGGGTCGGGTATGAAGTTTTTCGGGTGGTGCAACTCGAGGGGAAGGTCGCCCGGTGCCAAATTAAGTCTCTGGCCCGCTGCTCGCTGAACGTTCAGTCTATGGTCGGCCTGGGCGGGCTGCTACCTCCGGGACTTGATCCCAGTGCCAGTCAATGGCAGGTCCCTGATTGTGTGCGCCCGGCTGCAGGGGCCACATGCGTCCACCACCTATTTAGTAGATACGTGTGACAGGGACGACAGAAGTCGTGTTCGGTATGCGACTACTTCGTGTGCGTGGGCTGCTTGTGTGAGAGTGAGGTCCTTTCGACACTCCGTTTGCCATCAGATCTATGTCCATGTGCGGGGCGTTTTAAGCACGCGCGCGGAAATGTTAGCTTTGTTGTGTTGATGAGCCAACTGACGAGTACCTCGAGCATCTCGTATGGGTGTGAGATACGCACCCTTAGAGGGCGCACCCTCTCGTTGTGGGTTCAAGACACTCAGGCGGGCAGCGCGAAGCGGCCGCGGCTGGACGAGTACAGGCCGGGTGCCGCCTCTGAAGGAGAGCCGCGCGAAGCGGCCGCGGCTGGACGAGCACAGGCCGGGTGCCGCCTTTGAAGGAGGGCAGCGCGAAGCGGCCGCGGCTGGACGAGTGCTGGCCGGGCGCCGTCTCCGGTGTTAGCTCGATCAAAGCGGCTGACTCCGCGTGTCTCTCTCTACTCTCGAAGAGATTGCCGCTTTTGTGACGGCTCAATCACTCTCCTGCGCCTTCGCCAACGTATGAGAGTTTGCTTCCTTCGACCGCTTGAAGCTGTTTGTGGGCACGGCAGGAGCCGTCATATAAACTCGTTGGTGGAAGCGCTTAACGTTTTGATGAGAACCGAAGACCGGACATCTGTATTGCTTCTGCAAGTTGTTTAGGTTTGCAGGCTTACAACTCTGCAACTCAGCCTTACTACTCAGTTGTTGCAGTGAGTCCAGTGGTGGCGATGGTATCCACGCACGATGAATGAGAGATACTGACAACATGCTGCACCAATGTCAGGCAGTGTGCCGAGCCAGCTGACGTGACCCTCAGGTGGGACTGCACGCCGATCTGATGAAGCGGAACTTTGACCGGGCGCTCCTCCAGATCTGGCTGGTCACCATCTCCGAGCTGAAGGAGCAGGCCGACTCCCTCACAGACGTGAGTCGGTGCCTGCCCGCAGACAGCAGCGCTGTTTGCTGATTGGTCTGTGATGTCAGCGGTGCTGGCTCATGAGTCTGCGATGTCAGCCGTCCTCGACGATGGTCTTTGGTCAACTACATGAGTTCGGGTTCGTCTATATGGTTGGTACAATTTGTATAAATCACATAATATACTGAGCACTGTAATTTGGTGCTCAGTGATGTCGTTGTAATAAGCTGGTGATCACCGGATATTTGGTGTTTGCCGAAGTGAGTTGGTGCTTTGCTCACCATTGTCTCATGTTGGACTGTGGTGTGCCACTACTTGTCAAACAAAACGAACACCACTGAGCTGCTTACTTTAGAGAGGTGCACCGTGACACGTTCCCACGCTCCGTAATATGTTCCAGGAAAGGCTTGTTGCCAACCTCGCGTGAATGCGAGGGCATTGCATCATTAGGCACGTGCATGCATTCTCGCTGAGAGTTGGTCATCACCTCAGTAGATCGAGTTTTCGAGAGGATGGGAATGCAAACGTGGTTGCAAGCATTTCATGGACCGAGTTATGATGTGCGATGCCCTGTTCACTTAGGTGCCCCCAGCGGGTAAAGTTAGTAAAGGGTCATTTGCCCTTCTTGAAAAAGGATCACGTCGCAGGACCAGGCTTGGGTGGGCTATCATTGCTGTACTTTTTCTTCCTGTTTTGCAAGGCCCCACTCTTGACGGATCTCAGGGGAGGATAGTGTATAATAGCTCTGCCCCGATTGGTTGTACGTTTGAATACAGCTCGCTCGTGCGAGCATGGCACATGGCAAATCACGGCAACATGGCACATCACGGGACCACTTGTACGAACAAAACTGATGTGCTGGCAGTAGAGCAATGGATTCTATGCAAATCCGTAACAAGTGGGCTTATGGCGGTCATTTTGTTTGTTTTGAAGCACGGCATTGATTTTAGTTTGAACTCATTAATCCGAGATATCGTGGTGAAATTGTTGTTTTTCTGTCCGTTCCTTTTTATTGCGTACGCTTGAAGAACAAAATGTGTTTCAAACTATTCCTTTACCAGCAAAGTACACGGCGAATCACGGGTGGTGAAGTAATTTAGGTTACAAAGTTGCGGATTAGAAGGATTTATTTGGTTTCATAATTGCAAACAGGTCTGAGTTTTGTTATGCTGTTCGTATTTGTGCTTGTATTTAATCCTTAACACGCTGGAAGGATGTTTCTGGCTTGTCTCATTGCAAATCAGTTGCGGGAGCAGCATAATTCATACGACCTCCAAAAAACGTTCACACTACCAGACGTCCCACTTCAAAGCAGTCGAGGGCAAACAGCGTCACGCAGCACACAGAAGTCACACATCAGTCTCAGATGGTTCACTAAGGGTCACTGCCCCAAACAGGTCAATGTGCCTTACCGCGTGGGTGCTGGAACAACAGCTGACCAGTCAGCGGAGTCACGTGACCGACTGTAGTGCTACGGTCTCTGCCCGGCTCGGACACTCCCTGAAGAGGACGGGTCGAGCGCTGAATGACCGAGCTAATGCACGACGCATTATAGAGATGGGCAGCCCTGAGTGACCGAGACCATGCACGACGCAGTAAAGAGATGGGCAGCGCTGAGTGACCGAGACTATGTACGACGCATTATATGGATGGGCAGCGCCGAGTTACCAAGACCATGCACGACGCAGTATAGAGATGGACAGCGCCGAGTGACCGAGACCATGCACGACGCAGTAAAGAGATGGACAGCGCCGAGTGACCGAGACCATGCACGACGCAGTATAGAGATGGACAGCGCCGAGCGACCGATACCATGCACGACGCAGTATAGAGATGGACAGCGCCGAGTGACCCAGACCATGCACGACGCAGTATAGAGATGGGTAGCACTGGCTGACCGGGGCCATGCACGACGCAGTATAGAGATCGGCAAGTGGAAAGGCCCATGCTCTGCAAGAGGTCAAGCTTTTGGGAAGCACTGGCAAACCTAAACATCAAGCAAGCATCGGCGCATTTTCTAAGAATTCTCGATGTTTCGAGCCAGTGCTGACGGTCGCGAGTTTCGACGCTTGTATGACAATATCATGTGTAGCAACGCGTGCCTGAAGGTGTCGATCATTTACAACACAAGAACTTAGAATCCTGAAAAACAGGAGCTGAATGCCCTTCTTACTAATGTCCACACGCTTTGGTGTTCACCCTAGTCATCTCCCCGCAATTGACAGATTAACAAGCGGTCAGCTTGTAATTGTCTACACTCGCTACTCTGGATAGTTTAAATGACATGGAGCCGACCGCCCCGGCCTTGGTTTCGGCTTAGAAACAGATCATTTCGCAGCACATTGAATACGCAGGTTGGCGCCTTTCAACGTACGCTATGGGTGACACTGGATAGCCTGATTCCTGTCCCATTTAAATGTTTTGATCATGGACCAATGATGCTGCGGGTCTCGGAGAAAAGGCAGGCGTGACGGCGCCGTGAGGCTCGCAGGGCGTGGCGCTAGCCAAAGCTGGCCCCACACGGCGTTTTTCCAGCGCCTCACCACGCCCAGCTCGGCGGGCCGGTGCGAGCCAACGTGCTATACGTCTCCATTCTTCTGTTTTTTCCCCGAGGAATAAAGCTATCACTACTGTCCTATCTATATGAATAATGTTCCTCGCAAATGCACTGAACACCTTACGTGTCATGTAGCGTTTCCTTCCGCCGTGCGGTTTTAAAATGTATGTGGTTTGGGCAGGCGGCTACCACCAATGGCTATCGAGTTTTGGCGGCCAGATGGTGTTTTCTTCTTCATTCTTTGAGATTGAGGCCCTCGAAGTCTGCGGATAAAACAGGAGTGCGGTTTTCTACAGATCCATCATGCTTTGATGAACCTGTCAGCGCACATAAAGAAGTGTTTTATGTCGGGCAATTTTCGGGCAGCGGGGTTGAAAGGGAATTTTACTGTGCAGTTTTCTACGGGCGCCGGACATGTTTGTCCTATATTAAGGCCGTCTTAGAATGAGAATAACCTCCGGAATATATCAGACTTTGTTAAGCGTGCATTCAAATGCATGGACATTGTTTTACCAATAAACATAAAGCCGTATATTTTCTGGCAAAGTCATGGAAATGACTTAAAACTTTGCTTCGTCAAAACATGCCTAGACCACGACCCTTCGTGACTGCGCCAAGTCGGACCTAAAAAGCTCACACCTCCATCTGGGTATCCCCGTGCTTTTGCGTCATTCTTCAGGCTTGTTTACTGAGTTTTTTACAGCACAAAAGCGTAACTATATGTGTCGCGCCATGGGCGTGTCATGCAACCTTGATGATAGGTTTCCTCGGATGCCTCAGAAGGCTCCAGTCACTGCGACTGGTTTGCGTCTATCACTGACGGTGCATTACCGACACAAGCAAGGCCTTTCTCGGGCACACAGGGATCTCGCAATGAGAGGGCTTCATGTTTTTGGGAAACCCGTCGGTACCCATATGGAATGAGCCAGGGGCTGGGTTTGGTTTTTGAAACCTGTGCAGGTTTTGGAAAGCTTGCAAGTATGGATACGGACATGGGTGAGGTGTTTATGAAATGTGGAGTAGATGCTTTAAAGACTACTACTCATTCTTACTTTTCGCTTATCTTTTAGTCAAAATTCACACTGCTTTTGTAGAAGGCAACGCAAAATAATAAGTTTGTGGGTAAACTTTGATGAAACTCGCTCATAATTCAGTGCCAGCGCGCTGCCAAAATGCCGGCGCGTGGGTGGTGCGTGGGCATAATTGATCAAAAGTGAGTGGCGGGTTGGTGTGGGCACAGGTTGATGGGTAGTGCGTGGATTGGGTAGCAGAACGCATGCCTGCGAAGGCATCCACTCGTCACGTCACGGCCTCCAGAGCAGTGGAACAGGCGTAGCGTCCGTGTCGCTCATTTGGAGCGGGCGCAGAAACGCCGGCTTTGCGTTGCCGCTTGCCTTCCTCTCTGGGCAGACAGTGATGTGTTGGTCTGCACTTTGAGGGTGAGCCTATTTATCCATTGTTGCGTCGTGATGAGAAACAAGTATCTCATTGTCAGTTTCCTTAATAATCTGCGCAATGTCATGAAAGTCGTAAATGGCGTTACAAAACATTCGCACAGATGATTTATCGTTCATAGTTGTGGCTGACAAAGCTGAATCGACCAAGCACACAGTCCACTCTCAAGTTATTGGGCATGTTATTGTCTGTGACGGGCTCAAACCGGCCTGGCCTGACCCCCCTCCCCTCCCCTCCCTCCGCAGGACAAGACGCCGGCGTTCTACGCGAGACTCTGCGACTCTTTGGAGATCCTCCGCAAGTTCTTCCACGCCGATGGTCAGGGTGTACCTCTTGACGCGCTCAAGTGTGACCTCTTCGACGCTACCAGCCGCAGCCTTAAGGTCAGAGGGGCGCTGAAGTCCCTCACCGGCTGAGGTCCGAGTCCGTCTGATCCTGGGGTCTGAGTCTGTCCAAGTCTGGGATCTGGGGTCTGAGGTCCGAGTTCGTCTGAAACCTGGGGTCTGAGTTTGTCCAGTCTGGGATCTGGGGTCTGGGGTCCGAGTTCGTCTGAACCTGGGGTCTGAGTCTGTCCAAGTCTGGGATCTGGGGTCTGAGGTCCGAGTCCGTCTGATCCTGGGGTCTGAGTCTGTCCAAGTCTGGGATCTGGGGTCTGAGGTCCGAGTTCGTCTGAACCTGGGGTCTGAGTCTGTCCAAGTCTGGGATCTGGGGTCTGAGGTCCGAGTTCGTCTGAACCTGGGGTCTGAGTCTGTCCAAGTCTGGGATCTGGGGTCTGAGGTCCGAGTTCGTCTGAACCTGGGGTCTGAGCCTGTCCAAGTCTGGGATCTGGGGTCTGAGGTCCGAGTTCGTCTGAACCTGGGGTCTGAGTCTGTCCAAGTCTGGGATCTGGGGTCTGAGGTCCGAGTTCGTCTGATCCTGGGGTCTGAGTCTGTCCAAGTCTGGGATCTGGGGTCTGAGGTCCGAGTTCGTCTGAACCTGGGGTCTGAGCCTGTCCAAGTCTGGGATCTGGGGTCTGAGGTCCGAGTTCGTCTGAACCTGGGGTCTGAGTCTGTCCAAGTCCGGGATCTGGGGTCTGAGGTCCGGGATCTGAGGTTTGATGTCTGATTCTGTCTGTGTCTGAATCTGTGTGAGGTGCGGCTGAGGATTTGAGCGCGAACTGATTAATTTTGGAGGTGCAGTTTTGGGGATAAGTGAGTGTTAGAGGTGCAGTTTTCAGAAAAAGACTATTTTGAATGTGTATTTTTTCAGCCTAAGTGGCTTTTGGACGTGCAGATTGGAGATGCAGTCAAATTGGTGACACCAGGTGGTTTATGCAGTCAATTGCTTACAAATATCCTTGTAGTGCAAGGCTGCCAAGCACCAGGGACGGCTGGTTCTGTTGAGTCGACGTTCCCTCAGCGTTGAGGCACACGTATGAAGGTGGTTATCCGTATTTGTCGGCTTAGGTGGATGTGGATGTGGGCGTGCGTGCGTGCGCGCGCGTTGCGTGCGTGGATGTGACGGTGCACAAGTGAGCCGTGGTGTGAACTCTAGAGAATTTATTTTTGTTGGGTGATTGGGCTCATTGTTAACTTCAAAGAAAATGACCCAGGCGGCTTGTTCTTGACCCTGTGTGGATCCGCGTTGACTCTAATCCAGATTTTCATTGAATTCAAGTAAAATCGACGCTCTTGAGCGTCCATAAGTCAAGTTCAGTCAGTTGCATCTGCTGGTTAGTGGTCCGGATGTCAACTTAAGTGGACAGGGAAGCACAATCCTGCTCACATCTTGATAGTCATATATGCAGCAACTTGTTAGGCAGCTTTCTGTTCTATTTGTATCGTGTTTGTCTTTTATTATTTGTTCAAAATGTGTTTCCAATGCAGTTTTTGGAGCAAATTTTTTCCTTAGCTGTTGCGATCAAAGCCGACTTTTTTAGAGTCAGTTTCGGAAATGGACGCTATGTCTTTGAGGTCGATTTATGGTTGCCCCGAAATTCTCAACGCAGGTTCGAATCAATAGCCGGCACGAACCCATTAAACGTGCTGTGAGCGGGAGACGGCGTCACTGACCCTGGAGCAAAACAGAGCACGAGTCCGGGCGCGGGCGGCGTTCGCCGAGGTGCTTTAATTAGCACGAGATACAAAGTTCATTCCGTCTTTATCTAGGCCAAGCTCTGGGGAGCAGGGCGGCAGAATAATCCGCGGACACCCAACCACGTGTCATGAACGCGTGTCGCACGTGTTGTGCTTCGTGACGGGAACCACGAGTCCGCCACACGTGGAAAGCTATGCGAGGCTGCAGCAGCGCGTCTGTTCTCTCCCGCAGCTGAACAGCCTTTCCACGGAGCAGCTGATGGACATGTTCCACAAGGAGCGACTGGAGGCGCAGGAGGCGCAGGAGTCGCAAGAGTTCGGCACACTCTCCGTCCGCGTCTACTTCCACCACGACTCGCTCTCCGTTGAGATCCTCAACGCCAAGAATGTGATCCCGCTGGACCCGAACGGTGAGCTGAGTTGAGCCGGGCGGAGTTGCGTCTCCCTCGGCAGATCTCTGCCCTGGGTGGCCCGGTCTCTGAGCTGAGTCTGGTGGAGCTGCGTCTCCCTCGGCTGATCGCTGCTCTGGGCGGCCCGGTCTCTGAGCTAAGTCTGGTGGAGCCGCGTCTCCCTCGACAGATCTCTGCATCTAGGGGACTGGTCTCTGTCGACGTCAGCTGACAGCTTGGGGCATCCTAGACCGTATGTATCCGTGCTTTGCAGGGCTGATCGATACGTCCAGCACGGCTTGGACTCCAGCTGCTTCAGGGGGTAGTGTGTCGGTCTTGGCCCAGCGGCGAAAAGCGCCGCACCAGCACTGCTTCACCTGTGAGCAGGGCCAACATCGGCGTTGACCTACTGTTGCAGGCCTGAGTGATCCTTTCGTCATTATCGAGCTTCTGCCCCGGCAGCTGTTCGCCTCGTGCGTCGAGCAGCAGACAGTGGTGCACAAGCGCACACTCAACCCCGTCTTCGACGAGTGCTTTGAATAGTGAGAACGGGGGAAGTCTGGCCTGCCAGAGCGTGGGTGGGTTTGTCAGAGGTTTTGCAGCAGGTGAAGGCTGAGTGGGTATTTCAGATTACCTGGATGGCCGGATAGAAGGTTGACATTGAAAAGAATGTTAAGGTGGAGCACGCGCTATGTTTCCACCTCCTGAATGTGAGGTTCACGTGTTTCTGGTGCGTAAATAAAAGCAAAAGGAAGACTGGCGGATGAACCAATAGTTTTCAACGAGACGGAGACATCACCATTAATGCGTCGCGTGACCACATGACTAGCACGGAGGCAACTCCTCAGCTGTCGTCTCGTTGCGCGTTTCGACGGTAACGCCACCTACACCGCCCGACCTGACATCTGTCGGTGGTGTGCCGCAGCTCGGTGACTCTGGAGCAGTGTCGCGCCGACGGCGCTATGATCCTCTTCACGGTCATGGACCACGACGTGCTGACCTTCAACGACTTCGCTGGCGAGGCGTATCTCTCGCTGAACCACGTAAGCAGCTACCCTCCGGTTGGGATCCTTGTGAAGCACTACGCCCCGCGCGGGAGCATTTCCACGCGGCGCGCACGCGCGGAGTGGTCAGCGCCGATAGCGGTCAGATGGTGCTTGTCTGGCTTCGGAACCTCGCTTCTTCTGCGGTGTGGGTTTTCACGCGTGGGTTTTCCGCTGCCGCGTTTGTGCTGCAGTTGGCTAGACGTGCGCAGACTGTGTCGTCACCAACGTGCGTAGATCGTCGCAGTGAAGCGTGTTTGGATTGTAGCCTGTAGCAATTGCAGGTGAATTGCAGCCAGCTGAATGGTCCGCAAATCGGGCTCTCATGCCCCCTATTACGACCCGAAACACTAGCTGTCAGATTCAGCAGCTCTTCGATTTGCTTCACGAAACGATCTCCTGCCGATGACCGTAACCGTGACTGTGATGACCGTGACCGTGATAACCGTGACCGAGACCGTGATGGCCGTGACTGTGACCGAGATTACCGTGACCATTGGCGCTCTCCGCGACAATCTCACTATTGGTAAGTAGCTTCAGGGCGCTGTCTCCACTCCGTGTTTTACCCCCTAAAGGTAAATAACACCCCACCCGGGTACATACGTCACGAACTAAACGGTAGCGTTTCCCGTAGCAAAAAGCATATTGCGTGTCAGTGACGTCACCGAGCCCGAGTGTGCCGTAGAAAAAGAAGCATGTTGCGTGTCAGGGACGTCACCGAGCTCGAGTGTGCCGGTGACGCGCCGATGCCGGCACCTGCTGTTGTGCTGCGGCGGCGACCCGCTGACGCTGGGACTGGCTGCCGCCAGATCCCCGGTGTCGATCGGGGCAGTGCCAACTCGGACAACTTCCACGGCCTGAAGGAGATCGAGCTGAATCTGATGCATCAGCGCGACAGAGGTGGGTCGCCCAGGCCGGACGGTGCGGCGCTTCTGCCATCTACCGGCAGATGCCGGTGTCATTAGCGTGTGCAGCGGCCGCACGGTAGTGCTGCAGACCTGCCGGCTCCGACATGCTGTGTGCAGCTCTTACCGTGCTGGAGGTACTTGTGGCCGTGTGTTATGGGTGAAAAACAAATTTATACGACGCTGTTGTTTGAAACCAAATCGGGCCAAGGTCATAAAACTAAAGCTTTTTGATATTATGGTGTCTGAGGAATCAAGGGATGTCGATGAGTAGCTTAAGAGCGCATCGGCTCCAAATGGTTATGCAGCTAGGGATGATAAGGAGAAAGCATAAGAACCTGCGGCGAAGGGAGGCGGGTGGCGGTTACCCCCCCCCCCCCCTCCTCTCCCTGATGGCAATTGACAGCTGTCCCAGCACTGACTGGGTGCCGAGTTCACGTGACTCGTGCTGGCCGGGCTGGGGTTTGTTTGATACGCCACCGACGTGCGATACTGCGCCAGCGTGGAAGTCGCGGCTTCATGTGGACAGGTCTCGAGCTTCCGAGCACTGGGAGGCGCCTTAGCCCTGAGTAGGCACTAACTTGCATAAAAAATATTTTTTTTAGAATATTTGAACTGCATTTGCAGCTAGTTCAGTACCGTGTGAGGTTGCCCACGGGTCCGGTCCGTTCTCCTCGGCCGCTCCGCTGACGCCGTCGCGACCGCCCGGCAGAACATCCGATCCTCAAGACCCTGGAGAGCAGACACTGGGACAAGGCGGCGCAGGACTTTTTGAAGAAGTGCCGCGAGCGAGTCACCAGCTTCTGAGCAGGCCCCTGAGAGCGGTAAATCGCACGGCCCCGCCTCCCTGGCGGGACCTGTGACTGTGACGTCACTTGCCGCGCGGTGACGGGCTGCAGCTCCGCGTCCGACCGCCTGCCTCCGCCCCGCGCCCTGTCGGGCGAGCCGAGTGTGATTGGCCCGCGGCCAGGTCACGTGTTGTGTCGCCAAGTGACGCTGGGGCCCCGTGGTATCAGCTCGCGTGCTCTGGCGCGGAATGCTGCTATTTTGTGTGATGCCATTAGAGTGCGGCCGCGTCCAGCTACCGTGGCGTTCATGTTACGTATTCAATCACACTCCCATTGTTTAGCGCGAGGGCTACGTAAGCGCCAGATATCTAGTGATCGTTCTTACAGCTGGGTATTTTTGTTGTTTCTTGCCAGTCACGCGGGTCATGACACTGGTGCTTTTTATAATTAGTTGTGTTCTCGGGTGCCAGACGTGGTTCGCTACAAATCAAAACCCAGATGGATAAGGAGTGGGATGGGATGAAGGAGCGATTATTCCTCGGCGCACATTTCCATCGAAGGTAATGTTTGGTTTCAGCTCCGTGCAAACGAAGAACACATCAATTTGCCTTGTAACCGACTAACTTTGCCTACTTATATCCTGCCCGCCTCACGTGTTATCTTAGATGTGTCTTAACCGTTCAAAGACACGCATGTTTCCTATACCTCTTGCGCCATGTATTGTGCGTGTTGAGAAGTCGAAACATTCCACACCGCCTACCGCTTTCTTTGGTGACTGGAACCAGATGTATATTGCTCCAGTGTTGCCGACGTCGATAAGGCCGCCCTCCCCTTGATTGGCGGCTGGACGTTAACGTCCCCGTCACTTCGACCCGGAATGTTTCCCGTATGGTTATCGTTCCGGGTTTACGGCAACCGAACTGGGCCGTACCGCGCACCTGACCAATCACATCGCTGGTGCGAACGGGCCGACCAATCGCGGTGCGGCTCGCCGCCCGGCCGGTTGGTTCCGTCAGCCGGCCTCAGTAGTCGCTCGAGGACCGTTCTAGCGCCTCGGCGCCGTGCCGGTGGTCTGCCGTTCAGCCCATGACCCAATCTAGTCCGTGATGCTAGTCGACCGTGGGCGACCTTTGCCCTGTCCGCCAGGGGTGTGCCCTGTCGTGAGCGGGTCTCCCCGGGTCTTGTCCACCTGCCTGCCGCCTTCACATTTACCCGCCAGTGTACCGGCCGTGTTTTGTGCCACTCTTGCCGGCGGCTACCCTTCCGACGCAGTCGGGTGGGGCTCGCCGGTAACCGAGAGGCGGGGTTTTGTACCTGGCCCGCGCGCCGCCGCACGAGCCGACCTCAGCGCTGCGCTCGTGACCCCACTCCACCGGGGAGTCACGCGGTCAAGCATCGCCGGGCAATCTGGCACGTGTTCGTCCTTTGACTCCCTGACAGCGTTTCCGCCGGTCGGCGTCTGACCTCGTGACCGCGCCGCCGCAGCAGATCGTGACGGGTCGTAGGTTACCTGGCGCGTGCTCTCGGGCGTTTGATGTCGTCGCCTCAGCGCAGGTTCTGTCTGAAATGCAAACCTTTCTTGCTGCACTGTTGCCGTGAAATACACTACCTTATCAAGTGGAAGTGTTTCTGCACGGTGGCAGGCCGTTAGTAAGGTAAGGAGAGTGGTGGCTGGAAAACGCGTGGAAGCTATCACATTATGGAAGGGAGGGAGGAACTCGAGCTACTCCATCATAGGGGCGGATTTAGGATTTCGTCAAGGGATGGGCTGTGCCTCACTGTGCTGCCACGTGGATCTTGGTCCTGCCCCCCCCCCCCCTCCCGAGCAAAGACGTACCGGGACTTCGGCCCTTTTATTCTTAGATTTGTAATTTTGTGATCGGTAAAATATCTTCCGTTGGAATTAGTCAACTTTATTCCTAGAGGCCAAGTTTACTTGATTTTAATGCTGGACCGTTTGAGCCGTTTGTGGTGCCCTTGAACTTTGGAGCGTCATACAAAAAAATAAACACGTTGGGGCTGTGGTGGATCCAGAAGGGCCATGTAGCCACGCCCCCCCCCCCCCCCCCGTCTGAATCCGCTACGGCCCCAGCATCTAGGAAAATTTAGCACACCGCAGTGCATGGAAAGAAACGACTCAAGGTGGTTGTGAGCCCTCCACCTTATTTCGGACATAGTCCCTCATCCTAGCAGCCAGACCTCACCGTCACGCGGGGTTCAACGCTGAGAGGTCACAAACTGCTGGCGGACAGCAGCGCGCGCTTAGCTTTCGCACTGCTGCAGCTGCGGGCTGCGGTGATGCGCCCAGCCGCACGCGAGGCTGATCGCTGAATGCCGTTTATGGTGTTACCCAGTGAGTTGCTAGCTGCTGAAACACATTAATTGTTCAAACGCCGACCAGACCACCCCAGACCACCCCAGTAAAGGTTGAGAAAAGTCAGACTACCGTTGCGGAGGCTGAGAAAGGTCGTATTATCCCAGCAAAGACTGAGAAAGTTCAGACTACCCCCGCAATGGCTGACAACCGGAGGAGTTTAGATGTCTGCACCGATGAGGGGGCCAATTAAATGGGGCAACTGTTCTCTGCACAGAAAAAGTCATGTGACGGCAATCTTGTGGCGCTTTCCAGCAGTAGTTTAAGCTTGTTGCATTTTCGACAATGCAGCTATTCTGGCACGCTGCATGATTTTACGGAGTTGCATCCTTTACAGAGGTCATATTACAATTGTTGTAAACCACTTTTTCAATAGTTTTCCACTGCCAGCAATGATCCCAAACCATCTTTTACCGCGTTAAATGAGGAGGTCAACGTCCCTCCGCAGTTCATTCATTCTACGTTCATTCTACATTCTCAGTCGTGGAAGTTCTTAGTTCTCCACGTGGCATTCTACGCTCTCAGCCGTTGACGTGGAGGCGATGCTGAGGCTGATGGACTTGGGAAGCATCCCACTTTTCTGCACTCTTCACGCACAGCTAGATAATACAGATCCGATTTTAGCGGCAATACCCGTCCTCTCGAACTTCTTTTGAGCAGCTCGGAAGTTTGATTGGAAGCATTATAGGGGATTCGACGGAAGAAATCTGATTGGACTCCCTCTTCACCACCATGAAAGTAGTATTTCTTCTGTTGGCTATTTTCCTGCATGTTTGAAGAGAAAGGCAGGTGTGACATTCTCCGCACACCAATTCACCAAAAATAATCGTGATATCATCGGTACTACAGCTTCAAACTCTCCATCTAGGGAAAAAGATATACGGATAGCATATAGATTCTCTGGTCCGGTGAATTTAGCTCTTCCAGGTGGTCAGTTACAAGGATTATGTGCAATAAATCAGCCGTTAAGATAAGGGCATCGCGCCTGTGACGCCCTTCATAGTGATTTCCTCCCAGTAGAGCACCATTCCTTTCCCTCACCGCGCGCTTTGCAGTCCGGTGAGGACATGCGGGGTGTGGGTATAAACGTGCAAAGACTACGCATGTCTGACATACGTTTATTTCCGCACAACCATAGTCATGTAATATTAGCGAAATGTTTGGTATCAGACACAATCTGGCACTAAACATATGGCACACGCGGACACCCGCGTTGTGCTATCCGATCATAAGACACAAATTTACGGGCTGCGGTGCCGGTCCCGGGCACAACAGGGGTAGGCGTGGTAGTGTTGGAAATGATCCATTCAGCTTAAGGGTTGGTTTAGCATCAACAAAACTGCTGTTTTGCCCTGGTGATCACCGCTCTCACGGCAGCGATCACGGCGGCGAGCGTGAGTGTGTGTCCTGGTGTCATCGCCGGCAGCAGCTGTTCGTCAGCTTCAGCGCCGGCGTGTTCTGGCACAGCACATTGATCACGTGGTTTGAGTAGTAGGCCTGCAGCGTCTCTCCGACGTGCGTGATGTCATTGCATTCTCTCCGAAACGCCAAGAAGACATGGGCCACCTTTTTCAGCTCCAGGCACACGTTCTGCTGGAAGTTGGCTGATTCTGGAAGCATCGACGACCACACTACGAGTGCCGGCACCTGTGTGGAGAGTGGAGAGAGACGGCCATTTTGATTACGAACGCAGTGGCCTGTTTCAAATGGTCAGCAAATCCCGAAGTGGTGTACGTGATGAACGCGAACACATCACGGTCCTGAAAGCATGTCCGGCGTCACCGGCTATGTGTCTGAACGTCTTCACATTGCAGCTGATATGTTTGCATTAGGATTGAGTCGTTATTAAGAACCTTGTCATTTGTTATTAACAACACGCGCAGAAAATTTGCTCCCGCAAGGAAGCAATAAGCTTCAAGCTTACGCGGCGTTATGCCGAAGGGGAGTATCACAATCAGAAGGGGAGTATCACAATCAGAAGGGGAGTATCACAATCAGAAGGGGAGTATCACAATCAGTGCGAGCGTTTGTTTTCGGACGCCATTACGCCCTTCGCTACCAGGAGCTAAAGTTAAAGGTTCCACATCTGAGGATGTCGAAGAAAGCATCAGATATAGATAAGACACTACCAATAGCCTTATTCCTCGGAGAAAGCAGGAGAATGCCGATATAGATGCGCTGATAGTTTGGCAATATGTCTATCGAAACGAGGAGTAGAAGTGAGTTCAAAATTGCCTGCCGATGATTCGGCTCACTTTCCAGTTGTTTTTTTACAGCAAGCCACAGTTTTTACAGGACACCAGCATTCAGGGGGCTAAATAAGAACAATATCCAGTCATTACTACGATGCAGTGCATATCTAAGAATAATACGCGAAAATGCGTGTGTATGCAAACCAATTCAACTTAACAGGCACCACGCATAACGCTTCACTCATACATGCAAATGAGTTGAACTAAACAGGCACCACACATCACGCATCACTTACATGCAAGCGATTTCAGTTGAATAGGCATCGCGTATCACGCGCCATGCATCACTTAAATGTGCAAACGATTCCAAGCTAGCACACATCACACATCACACATCACACATCACACATCACACATCACACATCACACATCAAGGCACATATTAGGTTCGCATAACTGGCCATGATGAGCCCTGTATGTTAAGATTTGGTCGCCAACTTTTTATAAAAGTAAATTTATTTATTTTCCTATCTGAGTGATCCTGTGCTCTGTAGATGACTTTGAGCTCTAAAAGGGGCATAAGGTCCATACCTCCCTCGATTTCAGCCTGGGCGTGTTCTGCCAAAAAATGGTCACCGAAAGAGATATTTCCTGTTTTGTTTTGTTTTTAGCGTTTCGCAGGTACTCATTATATCTAAAACGAATAGGGTGCATAGATTTTTCGACATAGACTATGTCCCTCCCGTGGTTTTCGTACAGTTGCGCGTAAACCCTTTGAAACCCAGATCCGCATAAATGGCATCTATTGCCACCCGGGCACTAAGGCTTCGAGATGCCAGATTTCTTCAAAAACTTTATTAGCTTGTTGTTGTTCTTCCAAGCTACGCGGACACGCAGTTTTGCTTTTCTAACAATGAGTTAGATTTTTCACAGCAAGTGTTCACCTATGTAAGGTGGCGTTAAAAATCCGTCGTCCGATAGGACATGTTCCCACCTCCTACCACTCATTCTCCACGCGCTCCATATGTTTTTTACTTCTTCCAACATTCTACCTCAAAGTTGCGGAGAATATCATTGTCCAACACTGAAGACCATATTTTGTTTATACGCTTTCTTTCCTTTTTTCGCTACTTGATGAGTTGTTTAGTGCGTCATAGAATATGTGACGAATTATGTTGTGCTTAGTGGGAGTTGGATGCGCAGATTCGCAATGCAGATGTAAACCAGAGTTGGTGGGCTTGATAAAGAGTTCTGTTTCTAATGCTGTACGGTTACTCTTTCCTTCCGCTGTCATCACGCATCTATGTATTTATTCTCCTGGTTTGTCTCCGAGGAATAAGGCTATTACTGATGTCTTATCTATGTAAATAATGCTCCGCACAAATGCACTGAACAACTTACAAACATCAGATATGATGAAATAAGCTCTCTTTTGACGTTTGGTATACTTTTAAGCGGAAAAGACTGCTTTAGACCATATAATATCTCTGTTTAATATCTCTGTTTAATTAAATTTGTCTCTCAATACGTTATTGTTTGTGTCATCACACTTAACACAACATTATTGAGAGCCAATTAACGGGCGTTATATCTTGAAATGGTGCTCGCGAAATCCAGATATAAACGAGCCGATGATCATATTTCTGGGGCTTTTATCGCTTCATGGCCAATGGAATGAATTGCATGATTTGAGTGACGTTATTGTGGCGTCATGGATAGCTGGGTGACCTTGAAATAGATTGGACAAAATAGTCTGCACATCTTCGCGAGCGTATAGCTCAGAGATTGGAGGGATTCAGGTATTAAGAGAGGCGGAATTGTGAACTGCACGGAATGAGATTCAACATGGCTACTTCGGTTCAAAAACCCTTACAAGTGTGGAACGCTTCCTTTAAGAGTCGTCTTGGAGTGTTAGTTTCGTACCTCGGTTTATTTGTTGATAGCAGTGAAGACGTCAGGTCCCTATGTACAAAAAATCCATAAAAGCAACGTTCCAAGAAAGCGATATTTGTCGTATTTTCGTTGAAATCTCAATTGCAAGACAGCTTACAAACAGCATCAAACACTGCCTCATCTAAATTACCTTGTGTTTGGAACGGTCCGACAACAGCAATGGTTGGTTTCCTTGCGTGCATGCGTGCGCGTGCGCGCTTGCGTGTAGGTGCGCTTGCGTGGGCGTGCAGGTGAGCGCGCGGTAAGTGTGCCTGGGTGAGAGTATCTGAGACACCTGAGTTTAAATCTGAACACAACCATATCGACATTTCTGCCCCACCCTATCTATCAACAGATAGCCTCTGCATATCTCACCAGCATTCTATTTCTCGTGAACTTACCCGGTCCTGCAGCTCATGCAGCAGCGAGTGCAGCACGTTAAACGTGGCCTGCTCGTACGACTTGGAGAACATCTCGGACACAGGCTCTTCCAGCTTCCAAACGACTCTGGTCAGCGCCGAGAGCGCCGAGAGCGCCGGCTCCAGCCTCAGTAGCTCGTTCTGGAAGCGCAGCGTGGCGCGCACGCGCGAGCCGCGGCTACGCTTGAAGAGCTTGCGCCCGGCGTACCACATGCCGCCGTCCAGCACCACAAGGTCGGCGCAGCCCTGCGGCGACGCGCACTCGGCCCACAGCGCCTCCAGCCGCGACACAAACGTCTCGTCGATGTGGCTTACGCCACCAGAACTCGGCACTCAGCAGCGGGCCGCGCGCCTGCAGGCTGCAGTGCAGCTTGTCTGGGTGACTGCGGTTCCCGTTCGGATTGAATGTCTCCAGACACACGTCCGGGAAGGGCGCACCGCTCCCAGATTCGGGACACAGGGGCCGCTGGGTGTCCACTGGGGGCGGCGGCGGCGTCCCGCGGCCGGCATCGCACGTCCTCCAGTTGCAGTCGCCGCTTCAGGTGCTGGTATAGGATGCGGTTGCGAGAGTCGCCCACGAACACCACGCGATTGGGGCGTCCTCTGTGCGCCGCCGCCTCGCGGAGGCACTGCGAGGCTTGCCAATCAGGTATAGATGGAGCTGCGCAGCTGTTGCCCGGGTCGGCGGACTCTCCGCCAGCCCAGTCGTAGCGCCGATGAAGCAGTGAGAAGATCCGGTCGCAGCGCTGGCGCGCCTGTCGCCCAGCGACATCACCATGACTGCTGGTGACGCTACCGAGCTGGTTGACTGCTGGTGACGCCGCTTGACGTGTTGGCGCCGAGACGTATGGAGAGAAACGCGACGGAGACCCGTGGCCACATGCTGAACTCAACCCACCCTGTGGCATAAAAAGCTGTATGAGCCTTGCATCGTCCGAAAAATCGTTATCACATGTATCAGGACGCGTCCGAATCCATCTACACTGACACTTATGAGAACATCTATTATCGCTATGCACTCCTTTCGATTCGCCGTCATGAGAGTGGATTCTCTTCGTGAGCTTAAAGTGGTGAGGAATTTTGCAACTGGTTGTCGAACAGATGGTTGAGGGTAAAGATGACTGAAACATGACGAAGCAACCAGCAAACCAGAACTAACTTTATAGGCGCAGGTGCAAAGAAAAATCCGGAATGCGTGGCGAAAAGATACCAACGATAATACACATGAAGGCTAAAAGCGAATGAGTCGAAAATGATGCGCTGGTACGTCTGCAGGAAGGGCGAAAGGTCTGTAAGGTATTTTCAGCTTCCAAAGTGCTAATGACTGGTTGGGGACTGTGTGTGTTCAGGGTATGGTCAGATCGGGCATGAAAGCATAACCATAACATTGGAAGGCCCAGTTTGCTATTTGGAATCTATCGTTCCGAGCTCTGGTAAGCATGAGGGTCGGGGCGCTGAGCACGTCACCTGAGTCAGTACTGCTGAAAACACATTCCGTGCATCCAGCTGCAAAATGGTCCACATTTTTCACCCCAGTGCGCTCAGTCTGAACTCGGGCCGATAAGAGGCCGACAACGCGCAAGCTGTCGGCCGGCGGCTTTCTTTGATGTGCTTTGTGTATCATATTGTGTGGGTCTCCTTCCATCAATGGCATTTTATTCCCAATACGTTTGTTTTCAACACCTCAGATTTACTGCACGGCAGCTTGCCACACACACCACACGCACGCACGCACGCACGCACGCACGCACGCACCTACGTACGCACGTACGCACGCACACACACACACACACACACACACACACACACACACACACCACACACACACACACACACACACACACACACCACACACCACACACACACCACACACACACACACACACACACGTACGCACGTACGCACGCATGCACACATACACACACACGCACGCACGCACGCACGCACGTACGCACTGTTCTCATACACTCACGCAGCGATCAGTAATGCCGTTCTCTAAAGGGGCCGGCGCTGCACACCGGTCACTCCATTAAGCCCGTTCACGATTGCGTACCATAGTCGGTCAGATTTCGCACCGTGACTCATGGCTACGACACCGAAGCCTCGCTGTTCGTGGCGCCCAGAATGTGGCCAAGGCAGACTCGCGAG